AGAAGCTTTAACTCTTGGGAAGAAGTATAAAGACAAGAAGTTGGTCAAAAAATTTCTAAGATGTCTACCTCCGAGATTTATGGCGTACAAAACAGCTCTAACAGTGTCAAATAATACTGATACTCTCAGTTTTGCTGAAGTTGTAGGGATGCTTCAGGCTCATGAGCTTGAATTAGGAGGAACTAAGAAACCAAAAGGGTTGGCGTTGACATCTTGTGAAAGCAAATCTCAAACAAAAGAAGAAGATTCATTGAGTCTGTTAGTTCGAAGGTTTGATCGGTTGTTGAAGAGAGCAGAACAAGGACAAGGACAGAAGAAGTTTGGATCATTCAAAAAGAATTCTGACGATACCAAACCATCAAAGAAAGCTGACATGCAATGTCATGAATGTAAAGGGTATGGACACTTTATTCGTGAATGTCCAACAGTCAAGAAACGAGAAACTAAATGCACAACATGCAAAGGAATGGGACATGCTCAAGATGACTGTATCAGTAGTCGAAAAGAGAAATCAATGATTGGTATTGAAGAAGAATCTTAGGAAGAGAGTGAGGAAGAAGACATCTTAAATTATGTAGCATTGATAGGCATTACTGAGTTTGTTGAAGGTGAAGAAGAAACTGACTCTGAATCAGATGAAGAACAACAAGTGAATTTTGTTGAAAGTTACAAAGAGGTGAGAGAAACTTTGATTAAACTTGGAACAGAAAATCAAGATTTGCTGAAAGAAAAGATACGTCTCGAATCACTTGTTGAACTATTACAGAATCAACTAGAAGATGAAAAGAAGATTAGCAAAGAAAGTTTGAGTTTGATGAAAGAAAAACTAAGCTTGTCTGCTAAAGCTGATAATTTGGAGAAAGAACTGATCGCTGAAAGGAAGATATCTGCAGAACTACAAACAGAACTTAATCAACAACATCGGAAGATTCACATGTTTGCTGGAACAAAACAACTAGATCAGATTCTAAGCTATGGAAGGACGGAAAAAACAAACAGAGGACTAGGGTACACTGGTCATGGAGAAACAAGCACAGGTCAAACCAAGTTTGTGTCTGGAGGAATATCTCATCATGCACAAGATGAATCAAGAAAAAGTGTTTTCAAAGGCATCAGATGCTATTTCTGTGGAAAGATTGGGCACATAAAGATTCATTGTTACAAGTACTGGGAGAAAGTGGAAAAACTCAGGTATCAAAGGAAGTTTACATGGAATGGATATAAACCTCAAATCGGGGTAAAGAAAATTGATCTATATCCAACTCTAGTCAGAAGAACTGCATAAAGAGATACAGGAAGTAGAGCAGGACTTGGTTTTAGATGCAACATGGCGTTAGTCACAGAGGAATGCGAGAAAAAGAGTCCTTGGTACTTTGATAGTGGGTGTTCACGCCACATGACAGGCACAAAAGATTACTTACAAGACATCAAGAAAATCAAAGGAGGTAAAGTAACTTTTGGTGATGGAGGTCATGGAGACATACAAGGTAAAGGAAAAACTAGTGATGTAGAGCTACCTCAGCTGATGAATGTCTATCTTGTTCGTGGATTAAAGGCTAATCTTATTAGTGTGAGTCAGTTGTGTGACGAAGGTCTAGAAGTTACTTTCACTAAAGAAGATTGCAAAGCGTTTGATGAAACCGGTGACATTGTTCTAGGAGGTAAGAGAACAGGAAACAATTGTTACATGTGGGAAAATCGTACAACCAACTGTTTCTCTGCACGAGACAACCTTAATATATGGCATCAACGTCTAGGTCACATGAATACAAGAAATCTGACTACTTTGGTTGACAAAGAAATTATCCGAGGAGTTCCTAAGCTTAAAGATGAAGATAAGATGATGTGTGGACCATGTAATCAAGGGAAACAAGTCAAAGTGCAGCACAAGAAAGTTCCAGATGTTCAGACTAAGTCAGCACTTGATTTGGTACATATGGATTTAATGGGGCCAATGCCAATTGAAAGCATAGCTGGGAAGAAGTATGTGTTTGTATTGGTAGACGATTTTTCTAGATATACATGGGTGAGATTCATTCGAGAGAAGTCAGACACAACAGATAGTTTCAGAATATGGGCTCTTCAGCTTATCAATGAGAGAGGAGGTATTAAAAGAATAAGAAGTGATCATGGTGGAGAATTTCAAAATGAGTCCATGAAAGATTTTTGTGAAAAGCATGGAATTGCTCATCAGTTTTCAGCTCCAAGAACACCTCAACAAAATGGGGTTGTAGAAAGGAAGAATAGAACTCTTCAAGAGATGGCTAGAGCAATGATGCATGGAAATCAAGTTCCACA